GGTTGCACAGTAATGGAACCCACAGAATAAAAAGCACAGCGCGACAGAGTGTGCCAATATCTGTACTGGAAAATCTGCAACTTTTACGGAAAGGAAACGGAAAAAAAAATTTGTATGAACACAACCCAGACCCAGTTACGGATATATAGGGCCTGGAGCAATTTTATGGGATTTCACAATACATACAGACAAAACAATCAAAGCTAACCACCCGGACATTGTTATTAAAGACCACAAACAAAAAAGTTCCTCTTTACTGATATGATAGCCCCTGCAGACTGCAATTTATCTTTGAAGATCTTCAAAAAGCTATCATAATACAAGGACTTGAAACCATAATCTCAAAAAAGTGGAAGGTGAGAACATCAACAATTGCAGTTGTAGAACATTTTTTTGTATTTCTTTAAGGCATGGGATGCCAGGAATCCCTTCACTGAGTCTATTGGAATCTTTTCCAACCAATCCGAGGGCTTCAACTACAACAAGCATCACAACACGTCGATTGACATTACATTTGAATATTTGAAGATAGCTATCAGGGAAGCAAGTGATAGGAAGGGAGTTCCACTGACGAGAGGTGCGAGAGAAGAAGCTGTTGGAGTAGAGGTGATGGCTACATTTAGCTGTTTCGACAGTAAAGGGTTTGGGACCGAAATGCCAACCTAGTAGCACGCTTAAATTCATGCAGTTTGGGAACCAGTGAAAGTAGATCGTCAGAGCAGTTACCATGAAAGTACTTGTAGAAAAGACAAAGGGAAGTCACAACACGTCTGTGAGAAACTGACTGTAAACAGATCAGGACCAATCACGTTGCATAGCCGTCTCTGGATTTTTGTCTAGGACCTCGAGATGAACAGCGAGAGCACCAGACCCCATATGGCAGCAGTATTCCATGCAAGGACGAATGGTTGATCTGTAGATTTAATGGAAAAACCTTCTGGCGCGACACAGAGAACCAACTTTCCTTGTGGTAGATGAAGCTATTGATTCAATGTAGTCGTTCCAATTCAGGTCAGTGGACAGCGTGAAACCAAACAGCCGCAGAGAAGTGCTCTTGTGGAGTTGAGCATCAGCCATTCTGATAGAAGACAGGGAAGTTTCTCTATGGTGGGTAAATGAAAGCAGTTTCGTTTTAAAGGCATTAAAGTTTACAAGCCATTTCCTGCCTCACTCAGCCACAGATTGGAGGTTCTTCTCGAGGTCTACGGCCAGGTTAACTTTCGTCAACAATGCCGGGTTTACTATTGAGGTAGGAGTAAATAGCAGTGTCGTCAGCGTAGATGTCAACTTGGGAGTTGATGACAACAGGAAGATCGTTGATGAAGATCAAAAAGAGTGTAGGACCCGGGATAGAGCTTTTGGGAAAACCAGCGTTCGTGTGAAAGGGACTTGAGGAGAACCCGTTTAGTACGACCTTCATTTAACGGTTTCGCAGGAATGATTTTATTAAGTCAAATAATCGTCCTAAGCTTTGTGAACTGCCGGGTCGGGTGTCTGTCGAACTCTCTGCTTGCAGAGAGGAACCCGGACGAAGCTCCGCCGAAGGGTAGGGTTTCGTTGGGGGAGGTTGACGAAACTGGCCCGCCTCGCCGGTTTTGGATCGTTATTTATCTTTGGCTGGGCCTACGGGCTCAGAGATATCCACATTAAAAAGGCCTTGTGCCACATTCGATCCCCGTGGGTGGATTGATAAATACCATTATTATTATAATTTTGTTGATTAGGTCTATTTTGTTCAGCGGCATGTCATCACCTCTATGGGTTATTTAATGCCGAAACCAACTGTATCAATTGTATGTATTCAACTACAGATAAAATTGTTGGTAATTCTGCTATAAATAGATATTTTTGATAATTTTACTATAAATATGTATTATTGGTCATGACACTACAAATATATCTTGTTGGTAATTTTACTATAAATAGATATTGTTAATCTGGTGGATATGAGTTCTAGGCGAGGTGTATGGTGAATATGGGTTCCATGTGAGGTCTATGGATTGCATGAGTTCCAGCTGATGTGTATGGTGAACATGAGTTCCAGGTGAAGTGTATGGTAAATTTGTGTTCCAGTTGAGGTCTAAGGTAAATATGAGTTCCAGCTGAGGTCTATGGTAAATATGAGTTCCATTTGAGGTCTATAATGAATATGGGTTCCAGGTGAGGTCTATGGTAAATTTGTGTTCCAGGTGAGGTCTAAGGTAAATATGAGTTCCAGCTGAGGTCTATGGTAAATATGAGTTCCATTTGAGGTCTATAATGAATATGGGTTCCAGGTGAGGTCTATGGTAAATTTGTGTTCCAGGTGAGGTCTAAGGTAAATATGAGTTCCAGCTGAGGTCTATGGTAAATATGAGTTCCATTTGAGGTCTCTAATTAATATGGGTTCCAGGTGAGGTCTATGGTAAATTTGTGTTCCAGGTGAGGTCTAAGGTAAATATGAGTTCCAGCTGAGGTCTATGGTAAATATGAGTTCCATTTGAGGTCTCTAATTAATATGGGTTCCAGGTGAGGGCTATGGTAAATTTGTGTTCCAGGTGAGTTCTAAGGTAAATATGAGTTCCAGCTGAGGTCTATGGTAAATATGAGTTCCATTTGAGGTCTATAATGAATATGAGTTCCAGGTGAGGTCTATGGTAAATTTGTGTTCCAGGTGAGGTCTAAGGTAAATATGAGTTCCAGCTGAGGTCTATGGTAAATATGAGTTCCATTTGAGGTCTCTAATTAATATGGGTTCCAGGTGAGGTCTATGGTAAATTTGTGTTCCAGGTGAGGTCTAAGGTAAATATGAGTTCCAGCTGAGGTCTATGGTAAATATGAGTTCCATTTGAGGTCTATAATTAATATGGGTTCCAGTTGAGGTCTATGGTAAATTTGTGTTCCAGGTGAGGTCTAAGGTAAATATGAGTTCCAGTTGAGGTCTATGGTGAATGTGAGTTCCACTTGAGGTCTATGGTAAAATAGAGTTCCATGTCAGGTGTAGGATGAATATGACTTCCAGCTGATGTCTCTGGGGAATAAAAATTCCAGGTGAGGAATATGATGAATATGAATTCCATTTGAGGTCTAGAGGGAATATGATTTCCAACTGAGGTCTAGCTAAGGTCTGAGGTGAATCTGAAATACAGCTAAGGTACATAATGAATATGATTCTAGCTGAGGACTCTGGTGAATATGTGTTCCAGGTAAGTTCTATGGTGAATATGAGTTCCGGGTAAGGTCTATGGATTGTAGGAGTTTCAGCTGATGTCTATGAGTTCAAAGTGAGATCTATGGTGAATATGGATTCCAGGTCAGTGCTAGGATAAATATGAGTTCCAGCAGAGGTCTATCGTGAATTCCAGGTGGTGGTCTATGCAGTGTATGGATTCCAAGTGAAGTGTATGGTGAATATGGGTTCCATTTGAGGTCTATGGTGAATATGATTCCAGCTGAGGTCTATGGTGAATATAAGTTCCAGGTGAAGACTATGGTAAATATGAGTTCCAGTTGATTTCTATGGTGAATATGATTCAGGGTGAAGTCTATGGCGAATATGACTTCCAGCTGAGGTCTATGGTAAATAGGATTCCAGGTGAGGTCTTTGGTTTGTATGAGTTCCAACTGAGGTATATGGTGAATATGGGTTCCAGTTGAGGTCTCTGGTGAATATAAGTTCCAACTGAGGTATATGGTGAATATGGCTTCCAGTTGAGTTCTCTGGTGAATATAAGTTCCAACTGAGGTATATGGTGAATATGGGTTCCAGTTGAGGTCTCTGGTGAATATAAGTTCCAACTGAGGTATATGGTGAATATGGGTTCCAGTTGAGGTCTCTGGTGAATATAAGTTCCAACTGAGGTATATGGTGAATATGGGTTCCAGTTGAGGTCTCTGGTGAATATAAGTTCCAACTGAGGTATATGGTGAATATGGGTTCCAGTTGAGGTCTCTGGTGCATATGAGCTCCAGGTGATATCTGTTGTGAATATGATTCCAGGTGAGAGATATATGGATTGTATGAATTTCAAGTGAGGTATATGGTGAATATGAGTTTCAGTTGAGGTCTCTGGTGAATATGGATTCCAGCTGACATCTATGCTTCCAGGTGAGGTCTATGGTGAGTATAAATTCCAATGGGCAAAGATGATGGTGATTGACTTTGTATTTAAATCTCTGAAGATCGTAGGTGGCAGGTAAGCATGAAATCTGAAAGGAGTTCCACCAGCGAGCCATAATAATTCCATTTCTGTTTCCTATAAAGAGCTCAAGAAGAGATAGAGACGAAGACAAACAGAAAGAGAGAGAGAGAGAAGAGAGAGAGAGAGAAAAAGAACGAGAGAAAAAGAACGAGAGACAAAGGAGCGAGTCAAGAGAGAAGAAAGAATCAGAAGAAAAGGAGAGAATCAGAAGAAAGTGGGAGAGAGAGAGAGAGAGGTGTGAGGAAAGACGAACAGTAGAAAGAGAGAGTGAAAGGCGAGATAAAACAGAAGATAGGTAGAGAGTGACAAGTGTGAGGAAAAGAGGAACAGAAGAAATGGAGAGAGAGATAAGAGAGGAAGAGAGAGAAATAGGTGACGATAAGAAAGAGGGAGAGAAGAACAGAAAGGGACAGGAAGAGACAAAAGAAAGAGAGAGAAACTGAAGAACAGGAAGGAGAGATAAGAAAGTGGGAGACAGAAGAAATAGAGAGAGCGAAGAGAGAGGGGGAGAGAGAAACATGAAAAATGGAGAGAGGGTCAAAGAAAGAGAGAAATATATATTTGCGGAATCGATTTCTTTCGAAAGAATATCTATATATGTGCGTATGTGTGTGCGTGCGTGTGCGCGCGTGCGTGCGTGCGTGTGTCTATGTACATCATTTGAAATGCTATTTTTAATTGATACGCGTATTTTAGTACAGGCTACGTTTTAATTTAATATTTTTGTCTACCGGCTTGTACAAATACGGGTATGCACCAAAATTAAAGTAAGAAGTGATAAAAATGTCGAATTAAAAATAAAATCCATTAATTCTTGCT